GTTACTCAGTTTATAATGGTCTTTCTACATTTCATTTGTCAGTTATACTCTAATAAACTTTGTGTCATTAGAAAACTCATATTATTGCTTACTCGTTTTTTCCAGTTCATTTATGGATATTCATTTATGGATATGTTGAACAGCGTAGGTTCTGTAACAGATCCCACCTGATCTGTCTGAATGCTGGTCTCATAACTCACCATTTACTTCTGCCCTCTCTATTCTGTGTTTTTAGCAAGCGTTTATCCATGTTAGGAATTCTGTCTTATATCGTGACACCTCAGTTTTCTTAAAAAACATTTGGCAAGGAATTTTGTTGAAAGTCTTGAAAATCCCAGTGAATTTCTGGCATCAATGGTGCGCCCACACTTTCAAATAATTCCAACAAGTTCCCTCTTGGAGAGTTCCCTGTACAAAAGAAAGATATGTTGATTCTACCATCATCATTAATCTGATGTCCACCATTACTATACAGTATTTCATTTTTTGTTACATTGCCTGATATAGGCTAAAGACTTAGTATTTTGTAGACTACTAAAAACCCATCCAGATTTTTCTTGGTTTAAATTGAATGATGATTGGCTGTGAGCCAGCAGTGTGCCCAGGTGGCCAAGAAGGCCAACGGCATCCTGGCTTGTATCAGGAATAGTGTAGCCAGCAGGCCAGGGAGGTGATTGTCCCCTTGTACTCTGCTCTGATGAGCCTGCACCTTGAGTACTGTGTTCAGCTTTGGGCCCCTCACTACAAGAAGGACATCAAGGCCCTGGAGCATGTCCAGAGTCCTGTGAGGAGCTGTGAGAAGGGAACTGGGGTTATGTAGTCTGAAGAAAAAGAGGCTCAGGGGAGACTTTATCACAGTCTACAGTTACCTTAAAGGAGGCTATAGTGGGAAAAATATAAGGAGAAATTTCTTCATTGAAAGTGTTTGTGAAGTATTGGAACAGGCTGCCCAGGGCAGTAGTTGAGTCACCATCCCTGGACGTCTTCAAAAAACGTGTAGTGGACTTGGTAGTGCTAGGTTAAAGGTTGGATCATAGAAATCTTTTCCAATGTAAATGATTCTATGGTTCGGTGGTTGCTGTCATCCAGTTGTGACTATTAAGGCAATTGTTGAACTAGAGATTATGCACCCCCATTAGGAGCTGAGATTCAGGACTGCTGGGTGAATACCATATAGTCTTGAGGATTTGCTATGTTCCTGCCTTTAATTTCTTCCATACCTCTTCCATAGTAACTGCAGGTTTACAGGTTCTTTGACTGGTCATTAACAAGGAGGAGATCCACCATGTAAATTTTCCTACACTGGTTCAGCAAATTAATTGAGTTTCTCTTCAATAGCTGCATCTTTTCTGAGCCTTTACTGTACACATTTATCATCAGTTGGTCCTACAACCTGGCAGACTTGCGGCAGACTTGCTTCTTCTGATGTGTCTTAGGAAAAATGTTATTGTTGGTTTTGATTCTTTTTGCTAGCAGTTTCTTAAACTCCCCCCCCCCCGTATTTTTGTATTTATTATGCCTTAATTTATTATTGTATTTCCTCTATTTGGGCATGTTTGCAGCTTTTTGAAAGATGCCTTCTTGTTCTTACAACCTCCATTATCCTGCTGTTTTGGTGTACCACCCTCTTCCTGCCCTCCCTCAAGCCTTCCACTCTCCCCCCCGACCCTAGCATTGGCTTGTGCTTCCAGTATCATTACCCACAGTAGCTTCCACATTGCCTGTGAGGCTTTAATTCTTGTAGCTGCTCATTTACATTCTTTTTAACTTTTTAAGGATGCTTTCATTATGTATTTTTATTTTCTGTCCCTTTGTCATTTTATAGTGAGTTTTTGTAATTTAGGCTCATTTCCTTGGCTTTGAGACATTCTGTGATGATTGTTTTCTACATTCAAAATACAACATAAAATACATTTTCTTCTGCTGGGGGTTGGAACTGGATGATCTTTAAGGTCCCTTCCAACCTAAGCCATTCTATGATTCTTTTGTTGGTTTCACTTTCTTGCTGTCTCATCTCCCTCCCTGCCACTCTTTAATTTCTTCTTCCTCCCTCTGTCTGCGATATTGCCGTACTCTTTCTTGGCTTTTAATCCTGGCTCTTTCAGAAGTCCAGATCTTCACTCTTCTTATAGGTCTAGCTGCATTACCTGGTTCCTGTTGCAAGATTTCTTATATTTTGGCCCATTTCATTTCTATTTACTGGGTCAGGAAACATGTACTTCAGTTCTGTTTACCTTCCACTACCTTTTGTCTTTCTTTCTTTGCTCTGTATTTATCATACTGTCTCAGTATCATCTGGCTCCTCTTGTGGCCTGTCACCCTGGAGTTGTTTTTCAGCAGGTATCTGCAAGTTTTGTCTTGTCTGGACAGGCTTTCTTCAGCCTCATGCCCTAGCTGAATCTCACCTTCTGAGATTTCTAGTGCCACATATTTCCTGCATGCTGACCATCTTTCTGGATCTGCATCTGTTTCTTTTTGCTACGTAAGCATTACTTTCATCCCCTGCATATCTCTGTAGAGAAAAGGACAAAGGAAAATTCTTATGGAAGCTCCTCTGATGTTTATGAATGGCTTCTAGCATACTCATATGCCCTTTTCAGTTATGATTTCTCAATTAGCTATTTGCCTCGTGTTGTCTGTTCATTTACTGTGTTCAAAGGTGCAAATATGCCATTGCTCCTTCAGCGTTGCTTACCCACACACACCAAGCAGCTCACAGATCTTGCTGAAGCATCCAAACCAGCCGGCCACCAAGAGACAAGCAAACGAATTTGCTTACAGACAATAAATATGTGTTGTTTCTCTTCACCGAGGATAAGGGCCAAAATAATCTGAGTGCGTTCTGTTGCTGGCTTCTGGTTGCTGGCTTCTGGTTGCTGAGAGCTATTTACTTTTCAACATTTAGAGATAACAGAAGCAAATCTTGTGGCATCTTCATCTCACTAATATGAAGCCTCTAAACATTTCTGGCTTTCATCTATATCAGTTTTGGAACATCTGGGTCTGAAGATATGTTCATATCTCAAGACAGTCTGAGATGCACAGCATTTGAAGTTAGATTAAACTCTACTCTGAAAATTCTCTTAAGACATGGAAGTGCAAGAATTTTGGTAGGGTTAACAAAGGTAGACTGAGGTATTGTTGTATTTCATTAAAATAACTGTCATTCAGAGAAAGACGTTTAGATCATAGAGAATATCTGTGGGTATTGATTTTTGTCTGAATGTTGTTGTGAAATATGTTCTAAAAGTTTTCCTATCATATGCATGGATTAAAAAAAGGTAGAAAGTGTCGCTGTTACATATAATTTCAAGCAGTTGCAGTCTGAGCTAATTATGTTTGATTTTAAAACATTCTTTGAACTGTTATTTTCCAAAGCCAGTTTTTATCCGTTCTTCTAAATAATATTTTAACTATATTCCAAACCTTACAGTGTAATTTCCCACCATTTCAGAGAAATGATACTTTCTATTGAGAGTCAGAGGCATTCACAATGTGCTAAATAAATCCCCTTGATTTATAATTGTTTTGATCTCTGAAGTTTCCACCAAGCAGAATCTTTTAAAAAATGGGTCTGTTTACATTTGGGTTTGATTCAACCTGTGTGGTACTGGCAGCAGTACGAATGCTCATTTTTGGCAGAGCCTCTCTCTGCCTTCAACTTTTTCACTGACTCAGTTTTTCCATTCCAGCAGAGATATGTGTTGAAGTATCTCTGACTTGTGTAGTTAATTCCAGTGTTTAGCGCTTATATTTATCAGTCCAGGTGTTGAGCTATGTAGGCAAAATTTTTAGCAAAACATCTGAGAGAGAAATAATGTGTGATCCCTACATAAAAAGCAGCAGTAAAATGAAGTACACTTTTCGAGCCTTCCCGCACTAAAACTTTTATGTCCACTCGTTCCTTGAGCTGTGTAATCTAAAAAGCTTCTTCCTATAGTGTGAGACCTTTCATTATAAAAAATGAGGGAAAGTGACTTCAGAGCTAGGTTAGATACTGCTAGTGCCATAGTTCAGTTTTTGATTTTTGTCCTCAAAGCATGCTTTGTGCTTGCAAAGTTTATAGCACAAAGATTAGTCTGTGAAATTATGGCATGACTGTTATTACAAGCTCATGTAGTTCGTGAGTTAAAATTATTGCTCTTGTCAAAAGGGACAGCATTTACCTTTTTTCCCCTGAGGTTTTGAGTAACCTTCCTCCCTCTTTTGATTCTGCTGTTGGAAGGAAAGGAGATGTTAGTTCCTTTTGTATAAGGTGAATTATTTCTTTTAAAGACCACCCTGTCAGGGTGGGAGAAGCTCCTGTTCTTGTGCAACTTTTTCTCATTCTGCTGATGAGAAATTTTAATGGAAGGCTTTTCCCTCCTTTACTACCATATATATATATTGCATAGTGACAGTGACATAACTTGTGGAGGTTTATGATATTGTTATATAAGATATGGGATAGCTGGGCAAAACATGGCACAGTAACCCAGAGCAGAGGTGAAGAATCCTGAATCTGTTTCTAAAAATAGATACAGGGTAGGCAGTTATTTGTACTTGGTGTTTGGGCAAAAGTAAAACTGAAGCAAATGTATGACATTTCAGAGCTTGCATTTATTTATTGAATTTTTAAAACTATCTATAAAATGCTCCAGATGCTTGTATTAGGCAGGAATTTAACTCTTATATTGATTCCTGAAAGGTACCTGACATAGTGCAATGATTAGGGTCTAAGATAATCACATTCAATAAGATTGAAATATTGACGTTCAAATAAATGCGTACAACTGCAAATAAACCTTGATTATTTTGCTTTTTCAGAACCTGTTTGACAGTAGATGGTACAAAGGGTCTAATTATCTGCAAATTTGAATGGAAACAGTTTCCAGTGAAAAGTTTGAATTCAAACTATTTTAAAATTATTTCAGCCTATCATACTGCATTCCTCCTAGATTAAATGTTCTAAAATGGTAACATTATTTAAGCATTTCTTAGATCGGTGACTTACATCATCCATCAGGAAGGTTTCTTACTATTATTAGAATTCGACTATGGAATAGAAGCTTAGGAGGGGAGGTGGTATAGGATGGGATTATGTTGCATGTCTTCTCCCAGACTGCTTGTTTGCTTTGTTACACTTCCTTGCAAGCATATTTTTAGGAGAAGTTGAGTGTACCAGATGGTACTTTATCTAGTGCACATTTTAAAGGACACAAAGTTAGGTAAGGCAGATTCTTAATGCTCTATGTATATTCTTGTAAATTTGTACTGAGCTGTTTGATCCCACAGGAGAGCCTGGATTAAATGCAACTCTAAACAGTGCATGGTTTTAGGTCAGTCTCTGTGGGAGGCTGTGGGTCACTTTCAAGTTTCCATGCTTCATCTCTGGCAGGGAGGGTTTGGTCTGATAGAAACCATGCCTTCCTCTGTGATTGGTTGTAATTACTCTGATACTGTGATAGGTGTGCAGTTCAAAAGCTCCTTACTTTTAAGGAGCAAAGTTGAAGTTTCAGTGAAAGTCATCCCTTCGTAACTAATGGATATGGTCAGAAATTTGCAATCTGTAAGTCATAGGTCCTTAGTTTTGAACTGAGAATAAATACTCAGGAGATTAAAAATTGCTTTAGAACAGTAAAACAAAATATGTTAAATTGTTATGAGGAGTTTACTGGTGGAAAGTTACTTCTGATCAATAAACTCTGCTTGGTACAAGTTATATGACTAGATTATGGAAGAACTTTGTCAGTGCCTTGCGTATCTGACTCAGGCATTTTAAAGGTAGTATGCTTTGACATGGCTCATGATAACAATGCATCTCAAGATTAAATTTTAAGTCCCTTCTCATAAGGCCACACCGAGCCCTTATTTAAAAGTTATGATGGTATGATTTTTTGTGCTAGCAGCTCCTTATTACTGTCTTAAGAGCTTAAAACTGGTCTATTTCTAAAAGAGATGGACTCAATAGTTCAGTACTGAACAATTGGCAGTATTAATCCTGTGACCTCTATAGTCTTCCTGTGAAAATAATTTTAACTGGGATATCTCTAGAAGGAATAGCACAGAATTACTTTTTTATGAAATAATAGAAAATTTATTCAACATTTTTTGTTTCTAAATTTTTTTAGAGGTGATTAGTCAGCTTTGTTTATAAACCTTCAAACTATTTTGGGATGATTGACATTGCTCGTTGGGAACTTCTGCAGTTCCAGTAAACAGGTTTGTTTGTATGTCAGAGTTCAACTTACTAAAACTTACTCCAAAACCAATTTTAAGTAGTTATCAGTGCTAATCATGCATTTATTAATCCTGTTGGTGTGAGGTTTTGCAGAGTAGCATGGTAGTAACTCTTAATTTGTGTGTTACAGAAAGAGAAGGCAAATGTCACAGTAGTTTTTGTGATTTTTGCATTAATTTTTCAAAAGATATATTTGGAAAAAAATACAATTATAGTTGTCTATAATCACAACTTAGCTTTTTAAGGGTTTACTGAAATCTTAGATTATTTCATGTTTATGTCTTAATTTTACGTGTCAATTGAGAACAGTGAATTTCACTACCTAGAATCATCCAACAAATGTAAAATTTTATTTATTTTTGTGGAGATTATTGAACACTGGTCTGGTGAACTCTGATATATTTTCTCACTTTCCTTAATTCCATCTCTGATCAGTCAATTTTTTGCTTCCATATGTCTTGTCATCCCACCTTTAAAGACACATTGGAAAAAAATATGACTTTCTATCACTTGGATAAAGCCATTTTTCCAAACAATATAATCTCTTTTCTGAAATAGTTCATCCCAGGGACAAGAGTGTTGATAAAATTCAGTGATATAGGAAAGTAGCTGCCAAAAGTTCCCAATTATTCTAATGGAGCTTTTCGCAGGTTGTATGGGAAACAAAAATAGCAAAGGTGTGCCTGCTTTAGCTAGTTACTAGTTCAGTCAGGGGTAGTGATACTTCTGTTATTATATAAGGGAAGAGCAGGTATGTTTTCACATGCCAACAGCTCCTTCTTACTCTGTTATTGCTGTCTGTGAGAGCTTGAAAGTGTTCTCACAACAAAAGAGATGGATTTGATAGCTCAGTGCTGAACAAAATCAGTGGCTGACATACACAGAACACTAGAAGTTAGAGTGAGAAAAATGTAATTATCATTCAACCTATTCCACTCTACTTCTAAGATTATTCCTTTAAGTGAACATTATCATCTTTGCCTTCCTTCTGTGTTGGTTTTAGTACTCTTGCCCATCTTGAATAGCTGACTTGATAACAGCTCATCTGAACAACATATTTGCTTTCTATACCCATCTATTTCTTTCTTTGGGAAAGAAATTTTGTGCAATTAACTCTGCATATTTTTACTCATCTAATTCTTTCTGTTATGAACTAGGCCATTCTCCCCTTCTATTCAGACAGTACATATATTTTGCCCTAATTAATATTCCAGAGTTAAGAGGAACCGCTTGGAGGCTCTCTGGCTCAGGCCTAATTATCGCCTATGTATTCCTGGGTAAGTGGGACATGAGAAATATCTTTTCAAATACAGAGACATAAAGAAATGTTCAGGGTTATTATTAAAAAGCAACATTTTTTTCCCCTCCAGTTGTTTGTCTGAATCGCACTAATGTTCAATTACCTCTTATTTCATAAATCAAGGTCTTCCTTCATGTTGCCTTTTGGAAATGATGTTCACTCTTGCTTCAGGTCAAAGTCCATCACAAAGTGCTACAAGATGGCAGACATAAGACAGCTTTCTCTTCACAGAAAAAAAAAAATAAAACTACATTTATTTTAAAACAGATTTTTTTTTTTCCTAAAAAGTTGTAGCACTGGTGAAGCCATCAAAGTGGTGTGACCACAGGTGTAACAATCAAAAGGGGTAACCCACATGGTGCAGGTATGTAAGAACTGTGAGTAAGAATTGTTTTCCAGAAGCAGAGTAGCTGTGTTTAAGATAGTACTTGCCAGCATAATTACGGATATGAAAGATCAGATTCGCTTGGGATAGGAACGTTGGGCAAAATAGCTCAGAGAGTGCTAATTTACAGCATGAGCTTTATCGCTGAGTACTTTGGTGTTAATTAGTTTTGGCTAGTACAGTCCTGTGAAGTTGGTCCAATATGTTCTTTTTGTTACTATGATTTTATCATTGGTAGCAGCATGTTTATTGTTTCTGTAAGCTTTAGAGTGCACTGTAAGCAAGTCGATATCCTTACACTTGTGTTCAGTCCAAGTTTGTCATCTCTGGGATTCAACTTTATTTGGTACCAAAGCTGAGTAGAAGGTACATGTTAAACTGACCAAAAGTCTCAATTAAATGTAGAGAGGTTTTGTTGGGTAAGATTGGGAAAAACTCCCTTAGGTTAAAATAACCACCTCTTTTTAAGGTGCAGGTCAATAGGTGTGAATGAGTATTTACATTATCTGCTAAGTGGGTAATTGGAAAAAAAGGTAATTAGGATTGCATTATGGGTGTCCTTAACTACACTGTTGGACACCTCTTGGTGAGACTGTTGAGATACAGCCTTAAGCTTAAAGAAATAATTGCCTTGCTACTAATAACTTCATGTTAGTTTAACTCAATAATGAATTTAGACGTGACTTGGGAAAACATTATTTTCCCTAGTGTTCTCTCTCTCTCTCTCTCTGTAAAATTTGAAACGACTTTTTTCAAAGTAATCGTTTTGGTTATCTGTAGTCTTATTGAAAATGAACACTGTTAGACCTGTGATCAGGAATGCCCTGCATATAGGAAATTGTAGGCAGTGTTATGTGATTGTCATCGTTCTGGTTAATTTGACAATCTCTACCAACAGTGGTGGATATGTTCCAAAAACTATGTGAAACAGGAGACTGAAAGTTTAAATGGACTTGACAGTATGTATTCTAAAATTGCTTTCTAGCTGAACAAATAACTTAAACAATTAACTACAACCTTAGAAGATGTGAACTCAACTCTCTCTTCTAACTCAGATTTGAACTTGCATTTTCCTCACTGCAGTTGAAGCCAAGGGATTCTTCTTGACAAAAAGAATGTTTATATATTCTTATATATATTCTTATATATATAATATATATATATGATATATATTAATATATAATAAAATATATATTTTTTGAATATATATATATAATATAAATAAATAAATAAATATTTAAATGTAGGAGAAGATCATAGGAAACTCAGATGCAAAAGATGCATCAGTCATGGATTTCGCAATAGAATTGATTACCTGATAAGTTTCGAGGAGAAAGGTTTAAGTCCCACCCTGTCTTTGGCCTTTTAGTGATTTGCTTTGGTGCCTTGTTGGTTAGAGAGCTGTGCTTTGAATTCCAGCCCAGCTGCCTCATTCTCAACAGACATTTTAACTGAACCTTAATGATCCTGCTACTGATGGTAGTGCTTATTCTGTATGCTTGCGTTCTTAGCTATGGTTCACTGCAGGATGTTAGAGGGACCAGTGTGGCCATTTATTTTTGTTGTTGTTGTTGTTGTTGTTTTTTTATAGGAAGTTAAGCAGGAAAATTCTGAGACTGTGAAGATATTTTGTCTACTGAGTAAACCTTTGAAGATCCCAGCAGAAACTTGTTAAAATTGTAACTGACCACAACAGATTAATAAACTATCGCTTTTGGAAGATATTCAAGCTATACATAAAGATAGTTCTTCAGTGAAGAAAGGAATGTTTTTATTTGCGTAGTTCATCTGCGTAGTTGCAGATGGAAGTAGATTTGCAATATGCAGTCTATTTTCAGCTGTGTGGTTTGTTCACTGACTTAGCAAATGCTTGTAACCTGCCCTAAAATTGTATTTTATGGAAAGTGAACAAAATCTCAGTTTTACATTCATTAAGTGTTTTTTCTTGTGTGTAGATTAGCACTGCCTCTTTTGCAGTCACTCTGAAGTACCCCAGCTTCCTAGCTTCTGTCCTTTAGTAGGGATCTAAGCCATGAGGTGGGAGAAGGATTAGAAAATAGAGTAAATTGGGCAAATTTTAATTTAAATTATTTCCCCATACTTTAAAATATATATATATATTGAAGGTAAACTGCATCCTGGCAGGGGGATTACAAGCCAGGTGATATCAGGGATGTATTTTCCTGTAGACATTAGTCCAGGTTTAGCCAAATGATGAAGCTATGTAAGCATTTTTTTGTACATACGCTGTTGATGCTAATGAAAACTACAGCCCCCATGTTTTCAAACATTCCTGTGCACTGGTCATTCTTACTTGATCCTAGGTTCCAGCTTTCCCTGTAGCTGTCACTTCCACACAGCCTTTAAACAGATCCCACTCAGGCTATTCTTTTTTAAAAGATATATATTCCAGGTAACACAGTTTCAGCTCATTCTACCCATTTGGTGTTGCTGAACATTGTGTAAATAGTTGAGAGGAGGCAGAATGATTTTCCTGTGCTCACAATCCACCTCAGCTTGCACATCTGGTGTCAAGAAGAAGGGAGGATAAGAGAGAAACATATTTTAATTGGAAGGGTGGAGAATAAAGGCAAGGCAAGACTGAATGTTTTAAGAGATACCAAGACAAAAGTCTGGGAGCAGAACAGCAGCAATGAACTTTACTTTTTATGGGTCTGGCACAGGTGGGGATCATCGTCCGCAATCATTTTACAAGCCTTAGTAGCATGCAGCACTAGACAAGCAGTCCAATTAGTGATATTCCCAATAGGTCCTGTGGGGTGAAAAAGTGAGTCATCATATGGTATTCAGCCACTTTATGCAGAAGGCACCTCAAATAGGGTCCCCAGAGGAGCCTTAATTATTGAAGTTCTGACACTTGGGTGAAGTATTTGGATTTTTAAATAGAAATTTCATATAGCAAACTATATTCCATCCCTATTTTCTTGAAAAGTGATCTAATGTAAAATTAATCATGAGATGGCTCAATTAAATATAAACTACTGCCCACAGCTTTTGCATTTAGAATGGGACAGGTATTGTAATATCCACATAATCTATGAATGTGAGAGGGCACTTCTACCCCTAGTGAGAGAATTTGGAAGCTCTGTCAAGTACTTCATAAATATAGCTGAAAACACTAGTCACATTTTTAATCTTTCTGAAAGATCTAAAGCATTTAAATTTAAATTTGCAGTTCAGATGATGTATCCCCACTTGGCAATTGTAAAATAGGCCTTCTTTTTAATATTCACTCCAGGGATATAGGGAGCAAAAGAAGATTAAAGATGCGGTTTTAAAATAAGATAGGAGGTTTTTGAGGGCTGTGCTTTGTAGATGTGTTTAGGAATATTCTCTCTAATCTACTGAGAGAATGTTTTACTACATATAAAGTATATTTTAAAGATGTGATTTAGAACAACGAACACACATTTTATATAAACATGTTTTATCCAGGAAGGATCAAGTATTATCTTGAATTGATGAATTTATTATCTTGACAATAGCATAAAGCATAATAAAGAGGTAAGACAGGAAGAAGAAAGTCTGAAGCATTAATCACTGCAATTCAGAAGTGAATTGTTTTATGTATCAGTGAAGTTTTAGAATGAAGATCGAATTTTTTTAACTGGCTGAGTATAAAAAAAGTGTTGATTTGCAATCCCTGCAGCATAAATAGTACATTTCTTCATCAGTCAGCAATATTTTTATTACTATAATTATACTCAGAGGCAGTAGGATTTTAGGCATCTGATTTTATCCAGATGATAATTACATATTTATTAACCAAGTTCCTAATGTTTATTTTGAAACAAGGCATTCCTACGCATGCTCGTGCGTGCAGGCACATTCAAGGCCTACCAGGAGCTAGAAGTGTATACTATAGCAAGGAAACATGGCATGTTGTTATTATTTTTTAAATGGATCAAGCATCTGACTTTTCAACTATGGTTATTTCCTAGATGGATGAAATACTTTATTATTGGTAACAGTGACTGTTCATCATGACATATTGAAGGGTAAAGTGGGAGCAAATGCAAAACTATTATTTTTCGCTCAAACTGGCAGATATAAATAGAAGTATCTGTGAGGTGGATTATGTTGTAGTTATGCTATCTTTCCCAATAGCTGGAGATTATTGGCATATTTCAGTAGAGAATAAACTAGGATGCAATATTTCTAGTATAACCAAGTAGTTATAGGATGCAATATTTCAAGTATAGTGAAATAGCCAGAAACAGTTCTATTAAAATTAATGTAGCAGAAAGGAGTTTTAAAAGTCAGAAAAAAAATGTTTTCTCTTTAAAATTCTTGTGAAATTTGCCTAATGTGATCCTTAATTTTTAGTCTTTTCTCCACCCTGGAATCAACATTACTATCAAGTCAGCCAATATTAGTGGCTTCAACTGAACCCCCTCTCCTTTTTTTTTTTTTTTTTTCTCTAGTTGACTGTCCTCATTGAAAACAAGATAAAATGATGAATAGCAGGTTTTGAAACTCAAGTGAATCTCTACACAGACACACTCTTTCAGAAATATAGTAGCCCAAGGCAAGTATCTGCAGGAGTGTAATGCATATGGATTCACAGCTTTAGTTCATAAGATCTTAGTGTGATTCTGCATTTTTCTCCAACAGTGTTTTATAGCTTTTATTTTGTCTGTCTACTAATTTAATTCTTCTCAAAGGTTTTAACTGTTCATTCTACTAGATTTTCCTACCCATACCCTGGGATAGGTAAATAGCTTTCTATGTAGCTTTTTAGATATACTATTGGAATTATTAATGCTTTCATTGTAAGTCAATGGTATTTATGAGATACTTGTAGAGTGATTTATCTCTTTTCAAGTATCAACAAGCTACCAGGTTTAGAAAGTATTTATATTCCTTTTTCTGCATCTGTGATTGATGACAGGACCATGGATGCTGTGCTCTGTGTGGGGGAACACTGTGTCTGGCCAGATCTGGAGATACAGATCTCAGTCTCTGTCATCTTTTGTGAGAAGATTTGGGAGGAGTGAACACACATGATCAGATTTGAAAGAAAGAAAAAGTGGTGGGGAATTCTTCATCTTAAGCTTGAAATAGAGGAAAGGTTCTAGCTCATGGTGAACTTTTAGGCTGAATATGTTTGTGTTTTTGTTGTTGTTGTTGTTGTTTTTGTATGTTGTATTAGTTGGAAGACTTCTATCCTTTTGCTATTCCACAACCAGTCTTTAAAGAAAACACTTATTTAAAATATGTATTCTATTCTCTGACATGCAGAGTAATTCTGAAGTGTTTCAGATTTTTTTTTTTTTTTTTTGGTAACATACTCAAGTATTTATGAGAGTTTTTTTGAGCAATTTCACAGATGATAACAAATTGGGTGTAGCTGTTTGTCAAGAGTGGTGAGGCCTTGCAGAGAGATTTGGACAAATTAGGGAACTGGGCAATCACCAACCAACAATATGAAGTTCTACAACAGCAAGTGCCAGATTCTGAACCTGGAAAGGGGCAACCCTGCTTATACGTACAGACTATGGGAAGAGATGCTGGCGAGCAGCCCTGAAGAAAGGGATCTGGGGGTTTTAGTTGACAGCAAGCTGAATACGAATCTGACAGCCAGCAGGGCTGTACCCTGGGGTGCATCAAGCACAGCATTGCTAGCCAGTCAAGGGAAGGGATTGTCCTGCTCTTCTCTGTGCTGGTGCGACCTCACCTCAAGTGCTGTGTGCAGTTTTGGGCACCACAGTATAAGAAAGATATAAAACTGTCAGAGAGTGTCCAAAGAAGGGCAACAAAGATGTTAAAGAGTCTAGAGGGGAAGACGTATGAGGAGAGTCTGAAGTCACTTGGTCTGTTCAGCCCAGAGCAGAGCAGGCTGAGGGGAGGCCTCATGGTGGCCTGCAGCTCTCTCACAAGGAGAGTGGAGGGGCAGGCGCTGAGCTCAGCTTTCTGGGGACGACAGGACCCGAGGGAACGGCATGGAGCTGGGACAGGGGAGGGTCAAGCTGGGTGTTAGGGAAAGGTTCTGCACCCAGAGGTGGTCGGGCACTGGGACAGGCTCCTCAAGGCAGTGTTCACGGCACTGAGCCTGCCTGAGTTCAAGAAGTGTTTGGACAGTGCTCTCAGACGTGATCTGATTTTTTTTTTTTTAATATCTTTTTTGGATGGTCCTTGTGGGTCCCTTCCAACTTGGATATTCTATGATTCTATGACGTATAAAATATGTGTTTTCAGGTTAATTATATTGAAAGCTGGGTTTAAACTAGACTGAGTTTAGCCTGGAACTTAGGGAAGTATAGTGTTTGTTTTTGTGTCTGGCTGGGAGAAACAGTGTGTTTAGTTAGGGTTAAGGTATATATTACCATAGTAAGTGTACTTCAGTATTTCAGCAAGTTTATCTGTGGATAGCTATAATAAAGTTATGCTGTGGTACAGCCTGTTTTAAGGAGTTTGATTCATTTAACAAAGAAAAAACAAAGGCTAAGAACAAAAATAATGACTTTTGAAAATAAAAGTACCGGTAAATGGGGGAAAAGGACTGTTTAAAGTTTATAAATTCAGAGCTATACCAAAACTTAAGTGTAATAGGTACTGAACAAACCTGTGGTTTCATTTTCACTCTTACAATGACAGGCTTGATATTCTGAAACATTCTGCCAATTGGAAAGTGAAAGGAAGAAATTCAATTAATATTTTAAATGTTTCATCAATTTGTGAATGACAGCGATTGTTGTCATTACCTTTCTTTCAGTAGCAAGAGTTTGGACTAGAGGACCATGGAGATTTCATCCAGCTTTATGCTTCTATTTAAGAAAATGAATTCCTAACAGCTACTCAATTATGAAAATGACTGTGCCAGACTGCTCATCATATTTCAGAGTATGCATATTAAAAAGTGTTTCTCAATGACTGATGAAGATGTTCAGTGGAGACCTAATTATTATCTGAGATGTTGAGGGAAAATAATTCAGTGTCAATTAACTGAATTCTGCAGTGATGCTGGTGTATACTATTCAAAAGGAAAAACTTGCTGTGCTTGCAAACTGGTTGATAATGCTGTAAAAACTTAGATCGGCAAAGTAAAACTCTTAATTTTAAAGACAGTAAAGAGTTTGTTATTAATGGGAACAGCATTTTAATGCAAGATTATAAAGGTGAAATAAAGCATTTGCAGAGCTATTTAATCCTTTAAAATTGCAAAGTAAAATTATAAAACAAATGTGCATTAAAATATGTAGGTTTGCTAAAAAGTATAAGAAGCAGCAGCTTCTCTCCTAAGAATTCTGTATGACATTTCCTATTTTTCACTTTTTTTTTTTTTTTTTACTGCAAAATTCTTGTTTTATACTATGATACACCAGAAAAGGTCTTGGACATGATTGTTAGTTATTCACTGCTGCTTTAGGCTGGCAAAATATAAATGTAGGCCACTTCCACACTTGAACAGAACAGAAGGAGCAGCCCTGGGTGGGTCTTCCCCAAATAATCAGTTGGTATTTGCAAAATAGTGTATTACCATAGTTGACAAATGTTAAGTGTGTTACTAGTATCTTGCCTATTTTTGGCTTTTATAATTTTTAATATTAGTATACCAAGTGAAACCATTGTGAAATATGATGTATTGTTGCATATGGAATATACTGCCAAGATGTTCTCCTTGTAACTTGTAGACTAATAAAACCCCATAGTTTTAGCTGGAGTTCAATGCCAGTGGTCACTACACCTCACATATAAACTTCACTGCAGGTTTCACGTGTATTGTGAAAGCCTCCAGTTTCAAGACTTGATCAGATCATATTACTTCAAGTAAGAAAAGGATATGCCACATATAGAGTATGTATACTTACAGTATTTATGGCTTTATGCTTCTATTGTCATTAATCCATTTTAATAACAATAATGCAATTAAAAATGGAATTAAATAGAGGATACTTTAAGTCCTTAATAGTGTCAGTTGCTAATGAACTTGAACTCTATGCAAATTTATACATAGATATTTTAAAAATATATATATCTAGGCTTCTCTTTGATATGAGAATTCATATTTGCAATTGTGCTTATTTAGAATAATAAGTTTTTATATAGCTTGTGCTAAGCTTCTTAGTAGGAAACTGGGTACACATGCACTCAAAATCCTTGAATATTAGAAATACTTGTAACTTGTTATTAATATTTTAGCTATTTACCTGGAAATATGAGTTGATGTATTTTAAAAGCAACATTGGATTTCTTTAACTGGCTTTGCACAACAAATTAACATTGTATTCCTAAATCATTTTTACCATTCTTTGAAAATTTAAATTTAATGATGAAACGCACAGTACATATGAGCAGAAGAGGCACCCTTCTATCTCAGGAATCCATCTTTCTTTTTGTAGTCCGTAAACTAATGAAGTATTCAGTGTTTATTTGTTTGTTTATTTATTTGTTTAACCAAGATTCCTACCAGGTTTACAGGAAATTTGAATTTGTTAGAATATTTTATTGAAGTGAAACAGATACCAGTCTTCAACATTCATATGGTTGTGCTTTCCTTTTCCCTTCTCTGTTTTTGTTTTGTTTTGCTTTTTAATATTGGTCTTCATTTAGATATCAGAAAATTCTGCTTTTTTCGTGCCATATTTTTCATAGTCTCAAGGGCTACTAAGAACTAATGTCCTTTGGCACTTTTAAGAGTTAGGTCTGCAGAGCTTTTGTGTAAGTTTTATATCAAATTTTGTATCTGTCAAATTTTCTATGCTAGTGGAGTACCAAAGCTCTAGAGAGTTGGGCACACCACTGCCAAGGCCTCCAGTGTGTACTCTGTTCATTCACCAACAGAAGACTTGCTCATCTGACACTCTGCAGTGCTGGACATGGAATGCAGAGCCATGATCTTCCATACTGCTATTAACTGCCTGCCCTTAACTTTTTGCAAATTATTCTTTAGTCCTTCATGATTAACTGATACCTCTAATTGTTCTCCTGATGCTGGCTGAGGGCTGCATGTACTATATCTGCCTCCTCAGCCTGATGTGCTTCTAAGAGGTCTGAAGTCAGTTCATCTGGGATATCCGCATGGAGTTACTACCATGGCTGGAGAAGTAAGGCCACATTTCATTCCATATTGGCCACCAACAAAATAGTGGTGCATGGAGACTGTGATAGGAGACCCCTGAAAGCAGTACAGTGGCACCTGGTGCAAGCAATGACAGAATGATGCAGGGCAGAAATAGGAAGTGAAACAAAAATAAGGCTTGACTCCATATATGAGGCTTATAAGGGAGATGCATGTCACTGCCCCTGCTCCTTAACATTATCGTATGTGACAGACAAAAGGATGATGTAGTGCTTCCCAGAATATCCAGCTGAAATATGTACTGTCTGCAAATCAGAGTTTTATGGCATAGCTTTCCTTTGAACTACTGAAGTAAGAATGCATGATCTGGGGCTCAGATTTGAAGTCGTCTGAATTATAATCCCCAGAACATGTACTGAGTAATTTGAAGGTCCTCAGAAACAACTGCATCATTCTGTTGATCTGCTGCTATTGTGCTGACCAATTTGGTGAAGTCTTACTTCAGAAAACCCCAGGAGCTGTAGTTTTCCTATTAAAATATTAACCTAAGCCTTCCTATT